AACTGTTCCAGTGATCCTGTTAAGCATAAATTCAATTTGATTACTTCTGATCTGCACCATGAAACCAATATTGTTTTGTTTTTTCTTGTTGAAAATCATATGAATCTTACCTGCAGGACTTGAGGAGCCTTATCTGGACCATAACCATTTGTGAGTTGGTATTCACCTCTTAAGGTCTTGTCACTTAATATTGTCATTATGAAGACAGATGGATTATCATCTTCCCAACCTGAGCCTCCATAATCTGCAGTCAATTGTGTCTCTGATGTTGCCTAATTACAACGAAAAGTATGATTTTCATGAGAGGGACTTGTTGGTCACTTTTCCTTTTCATATGTATATATGTGACAAATAAATTGAACTTTGGTGCTCAATGCTACTAGAGGAAACAATCACCTGCAGAAATAAACCATTGGATGCTTGAATGCGAACTCTATTTTGATCACCATCATTCCTTACAATCCGAAATGTTTCGGTGTTTCCAGGTGAATCTGAAACTGCAATTAGGCCGGTTCCCTGGTCTTGGTTTGGCAATCCCACAAACTGCTTGTTGAACACTCTCAAATTGAAAGACGATTCATCAATTCTCCACAACTGCATTACAAACGAAAAAACCAATGGAGTTAAATTTACTTATTTAGTTTTTGGTAAATAATGATGTTCAATTTTTATCTGGCTTTTGGTAGTGCTGAATTAATGTTGGCTTGAAGAGCATACCCTGAAAGTTTCCCAACCAGAGGCCGAATCGCGGTTGACAACAACAACGGAACCACTGCCGCCCCCATTTTCTGGTGCAATATACTTCTGCAGCTTTGTGGACTTGAATTGAACTTGTGTTCCATCCTGCAAATGATTTCAAAATCAAAAACTTTGAACTATGTTTTTTCAGTAGGGAATAGTTCAGATTATTTGTGGTTTTAGTAGAGAAAAGCGAAACTGTAAAACGAAATCACACCAAAAAGAAGAAGAAAAGATATGCTTATTTGTGATGAATGCAGTAGCTCTAAGCAAAATAAAACTATACCAAAAGGTCATTGTTGGGAATGCCATCATAGAGAGAAGGTTTCATCCAACCCTCTGTAACAAGCCAATTCCCAAGATTCACAGCTTTGAATGGCAAATTGAAGTCTTGTGCTAAGGAAAGAGGAACAACACATGAGATCAGGTACAAGGACAGAAGATGGTAAATCTTAAAGTAATAATAT